TACAGGAATGTAAGCTGTGGGGGTGTTGATGGACTCAATCTACTCCATCTATGTTTTGATCATAATTCTGAATCCAATCCAGAATGTTTTTAAAAATGTGTTACTTTTTTTAATGAAACTTACCCACAATAAAGTGTTGATAAAAAAAGAATGCATGCATGAAAATGATCAAAAATGCTGGTGCTTGCTGGCAACTTTAAAAAAAATGTGGTGGGGAAGGAGTTAAGTACAGTAAATATCTAAAAAATTAAGATTGAACGTTATGGTATGCACTTAAACACTAATAGAGATCACTTTTTTTTTTCCAAAAAATGAAATGCACTGCAAAAACCACCAAACACACAAGTCACGAAGATTCTCGTGACTTCCTTCAAGCCCATTTCAGCTACAGGCCGTGATCGTGAGAGGTCCCACCACACCCTTCTGAGTCTATTTTTAAGGTTCTCAGAACTAAAAATAACTCCATTAATTCGGTTTCTTTAGTAGAGGGAGCATCTGGAAGGCTGAGCGTGGGCACCAGGGTTCGATAAGATCACTCACGGATGCGTCACCCTCCCTCTGATTGGATAATGAATCATACATTGAGACCGAAGCGTGCGGGAAAGCCCCGCAGTGAAACACAGTGGAGGTTCTATTCAGTGTGAGATTGAGCCCCGGAGATAGTCGTCTAGGGGCCGAACCCACCACACACACACACACACACACACACACACACACACACACACACAGAGCTCGAGAGTAAGGGGTCATCACCCACCACCCACTCGCAGGGTGAGATTTCTCTCTCTCACACACACACACACTTCCAGTCAGCCCCACTGCTCTCACAACCACCCAGAGTCCTCATCTGGCCTCATCAGGGAAAAGAAAGAGGGGAGAGATGAATAGAAAGAAAAAGTCGAGGGAACATCGTGACCCCGCAGGAATATACACATCATGTCCATGCAAAAACAGAGGAAGATGAGAGTGGAAAGAAAATAATAAAGTGTAGATCAAGAGTATAAGATGCTATGGGAGACCAAAGGCATGTTGATGTTGCCCAAGATGGAAGTTGTCACAATGACTGTATCTTACTATAACTGTAGCCTATAAAACATATGAAATCATACATTGCAGTGGTTTTGTATGCTGGTTGCAAACACCTATTAAAAACTGTTGCCAATTTAGAGCATTTATAAATTATGAATAATTTGTGAAAATTCTAATATCATATTTTTGTCATATAGTTGCTTGTGAACACAAAGTATATTTTAAACAAAAGTCAAATTTAATTTAATTATAAATGAATTAATTTCTGTAATGATGCAATATTTTTGAATGATACTTTTTACATTGTTGATGTTTCATAAATTGGTCACATTATTTTGAAAAACCTTTAAAATGCTATTTCATGGCAGCTTTCCATTGGGACAACTTGCCCAGTTACATTTCTTTATTTTCTGCCCAATAAAGATAGAAATGTTCAATAGATTTTTTATTTATATATTTAGCCAGGATTTGAAAATACATGCTACTGTCTGAAAGATTTTTTTTTTATGTTTTTGAAAGAAGTCACTTATGGTCACATTTAATAACAGTTGTGCTGCTTAATATTTTTATTGACACAGTGATACATATTTTCAGGATTCTTTGATGAATATAAAGGTCAAAAGAACAGCCTTTATTCAATTTAGATTTTTTTAGTATAAAATTATTTACTGTCAAATACTGACTCCAATATTTTGCATCATTACTTTTTTGCTGAGGTTTCATATATATATATATATATATATATATATATATATATATATATATATATATATATATATATATATATATATATATATATTTAAATCAGAAAAACCTATAAGCTTTACATTGGGAAAACTTACCCAGCTGTATCTTATTTTGTGGGCAATAATGGTAGAAATGTGTAGTATTTTTAATTTTAAGTATTTTCGAGCCATTAATGTATAGCCTACCTAAACAGAAATAGATTAAAATAGATTAAAAAGTGTGTCAACTTGCCCAAGTCTCATCTATACAATATATATAAAAAAAATGAATAGTATGAACTCCTATCAGGTGGAGATAAAAAAGAAAAAACACAAGAGGGAAAAGGACGAGGGAAAAAATGTAAATGCAAGAGGAGAATCTTGAGACACTCAAACACAAGTAACACAAGAAAGTCATTAGATTGAAGTGTCGACAATGTCTAAAAAGACAGTGTTTTGGCGAAAGAGAGACAAAGACAGGCAGTTTCGGACCCCCAACAGCGCCTGGCCTTCTCCTCTGATCCTCCTCTCACACAACACTCATCCTTTTACTCATCTGTCTGGGTCTGCTCTGCCATGTCCCAGGAAGTGACATAATAGCCCAGCTATCCAACTGTCTACAGTCACAGCGCTGGCTTCTCATTGGCCTGTCAGGAGCCCACAGTGGTTCAACCCAGACCTCCATGAGCCTGGGGTTGCCGAGTTCAATCGGTCTTGTGGATGTGGATGCTAAATAACAGCAAACAACAACGCCATGAGAGACCAGCCTCAGACAGGGCACAAAAGAAAAGTTTTCTCCTCAGAAAGTTTGTGATTGGTCTGATGATGTTTGAGGGAGAAAAAAAATGGTTAAAGAAAATTCAACTTTTGACTTTGAACTTGGAACTATAGGCTGTCTATTTAGAAACACTTATGGTTAAAATGGTTAGCACACTCTTGGAAAAAAATGTATCTTTATAGACCCTTAAATGGTGATACTGTAGCAGGCGCTTTATAAAACCTTTTAGGGGTTCACATCATGGGGTCATATTATAGTTTTAATTATTTTTTTTTAATTATTAATTAAGCAGCTTGTAAACATACTTTATCACTAGAAAAAAGAACTTGTTAAACATTATGCAATAATTTAAGACATTTTTCCTATACCTTTTTGGTATAAAGGGTTCTTTAAAATTGAGTTAAGAACCCTATTGGGTTCTGTATATAGAACCCCATTTAAACTTTTTTTTCTAAGAGTAATACTTGAATCAGATGAGAAGATCTTTAGTAGAAAATGGTCTTCATGGGTTTCCAAAACTGAAGGATATTACACGGTAAAATGAGAAGTTTGCCCGTTTTAACTGACTCAGCTGTTTTTAATTCAGTTTTAAATGGTCAACACTTCCTCTGTTGGATGGTAAATCTAGAATGCTGTCATTACTCACCAGTAGGACAATCTTTACAGCTCCACGCACAATTTGAGATGTGGAACAGATGACACATGACTCCCTCTAATAATGAATTCCCAAACCTGAGAGATTTTGAATTTGAGTCGTATTCTGTGAAACCACAAAACACATAACACGTGTGAATGGCGCCCTCTATTGATCAGACTTGATTCTGACAATCTCACAAAATATTCATCATCCTAGGACCTAGACTAAGTGGTTCTCAACCTTTTGGACTGAATTATATATATACACATTTCAGTTTACATTAGTTTCAGTTTTAGTTCAGGTTTAATTTACACTAGATTATTTTAATATAATAATAATGTATTAATGAATATACTTTTAAGTCATCCTGAGGTTTCCGTGCAGGACCCCTGGTTGAGAAACACTGTTCTAGACCTTTAATACATTCACTAGCTTGTCCTTTTTAAATGTAGGCCTACACTACATGACAGAACATTCTCATCTCAGAACATTCAGATGTTTTCTTTACCAGTATTTTACATCATTTGCCATATTTCTTTGAAGTAATTCCCTCTTGATTTGATATTTTTATTATTTGAATGCATACATAGGCCTACATAAGTGTAACATAATTGATCAGCACTAGTAAAAATTGAATAAATCTTCAGACATAGGGCTCAAGGCAGCTTAAATTAGTATAAAGCTGGTTTTGGGCACCATCTAGTGACAAGAGATGATTCAATCCATGTTTAAATTCCTATAATTGATTCACACAGCAAAATGATATACAGATGAGCCAAAACATTATGTATACTCTGGTATATCACAGGTGAAGCGAATATCGTTGATCATCTCCTACCAAAGCTAAATATTAAGTTCTGGGAAGATTAGATGGTAAATCAGTTCTCATAATCAACGTGTTTGGATGCAGGAGAAATCGGCAGGAATAAAAATCTAAGGGACTTTGACAAGGGCCAAATTGTTATGGCAAGGCGACTGGGTCAGAGTATCTCTATAACAGCAAGGCCTGTGTTGTTTCAGGTCAGCAGTGGTGAGAATTTACCAACAGTGGTCTGAGGATGGACAAACCACAAACCGGTAACAGGGCACTGGGAGCCAAAACTCATCGATGCACGATGGCAACAAAGGCTATCCTGTCTGGTCCGAGCCAACAGAAGGTCTACTGTGGCAAGTCACACAAAATTTCAATGATGGTTATGGGAGGAAATGTGTGCGCTGTTTACCTGGGGAAGTGATGGCACCAGGATGCACGGTGGGACGACGACAAGCCGGTGGAGGGAGTGTGATTCTCTGGGCAATGTTCTGTTGGGAAACTCTGAGTCTGATCATTCATGTGGATGTGAATTTGACACGGGCCACCTACCTAAACATTGTTGCAGGTCAGGTACACCCCTTCATGACAATGGTGTTCCCTGGTGGAAGTGGCCTGTTTCAGGAGGATAACGCACCGGGCCACACTGCACATATTGTTCAGGAATGCTTTGAGGAACATGAAGAGTTCAAGGTGTAATTCCCCAGATCTCTACAATTGAGCATCTGTGGGATGTGCTGGACCAACAAGTTCATCGGCTTCACTTCGCAACCTACAGGACTGGTATGATCTCCTACAAACATCTTGGTGCCAGATCCTACAGACCACCTTTAGAGGTCTTGTAGAGTCCGCGTCTCAGTGGGTTGGCGCTGTTTTGACAGCACGCAGTGGACCAACAGCATTCTGGGTGGTAATAATGTTTTGGCTAATAGTGATTCTGATTGAATTGGAATGATCAAACAAACAAAAAAAAGTAAAACCTGGAATTCATAATCAAATATTTAAGACTAACAAGGTGAGTTGTAACACTGAAAATGATTTTATTTGGAACATAATTACACTGTAATATCGTAATCCTTTAATTTCACAAATACACAAATACAACATGCATTTTATACACTCCCCTCCCCCACCCAAAACACTCCTTAACTCTTTTTTTAGCAGATGACAAAGGCGGCCACACCAGACCATCCCGAGGTGTGACAGCCATCCCATCCGCTGAGTTGAGAGTGGATTCAGCACTAGCAGCTATTAGACTTGATTTACCTGTACAGTCAGCAGAGTACAGACTCATGATACTGGCATGCGTTGAGAGAATGTTGTTTTGTCATCCTTAGGCTTGAGTACTGACTGACGCAAAACAATAAATACGAAGACAACTCTCAAAAAGCTGGAGATATAGACAGCTTTCATCGCAAAACACTTCTTGTGAAGATCAACACCTTCAATCAGAATCGGATTTCACATTTATTGATGATTCACGGATAGTTCTTGGCTTGTTTCTTTTCTAAGAAAAGGTAGTGTGTTCTTGTTTACGAGCTAGAGGTAGTTCCTTAGAATTCACAAATCTCTCCATCTTCAGATATCAGGGAAGGAGTTGGATAGCTCCCTCAGTCTGCGAGTGGTCACGGTGGACGAGAGATTGTTTTCATCTCGCACACATGCGAGCAGGTTACCGACAATATGTCGAAGACAGTCCCGAAGTTCCCTCAAATCTCTATTAGAGCAATAACCTTCTGCAATAGCCATTCTCAAGCATATGTTCTTCAGCTCAACACTGTCCTGAAAGAAAGGACAAAAAATATGATTAATTCGAAAAAGAGGCTAGATATAATCACATTCAAGTAAAGCCATGAGTTTAGCATCCACATACTATATAGGCCTATAAACAGTAGGCTATATGCACACACTCTTATGAAATAAAGGCTCCAAAAGGGGATTTTCACAGAGATGCTATAGAAGAACCATTTTGACTTGGTGTGAACATTTTAATAATCTGAATCAACCTTTTTTTTCTATAAAGAAGCTTTTTTGGAATGGAAAGGTTCTATGGATGATAAAGAGTCTTCATTTATGGAACCGTAGATGCCAATATTGTGTATAGGCCTATATTTAATCACAATTCAACCAAAACACTGTATAGTCAGCACGTGTGGAAACACCTAGCCTACTGTTTAAAAAGCCTTTTTGAAAAAAAATATTTTTCATTTGCTTCGAATGCATTTGATTCCAATACGTCCACTGCGTTATTTTTAGTTGAATGGCTTACTAGACCAGAATTAATGACTAATCCAACATAGGTAGCCTGATAGACGTAATATTTTTTAGAACAACTGTGTCGTTACAACACAAAATTGACACTATCTAGACTACAGCAGAAACACAAAAACATCTTACCTTACGCTTGAGCAAACTCTTCTCGTAGGAAACCTCTTTTATAAAGTCTTCCTCGACAGATATGAGCTGTGTCAGTATCTCGAGCAGTCGTGTGAGGCAGCTCTCTCGAGCTCTCTCCGCGATGGTCTTCATCCTGCGGGGCTCCTTCATCACATCGCCCGGGCGAACCACGACTTTACCGGCCGATAAAGCACCTGAACACTGGCCTTCGCCATCTGCATTACTGGCTGTGGCGTGAGCTCGCAGTTCATGAAGGATGTTTAAGGCATCGATCTGATGTGTTAAAGAGCAGAGCCCCATGTCTATCACCTGGTCACCGACAGATCGGCAGCATTGAGCACAGTCGCACAAATGATGCGAGAGATGGCTCTGGTCGTCGAAACAACGTGACAAGTGTTTTTTTCTTTTGCTGGAGAAGACGGTTTCTTCAACGACTTCCCCATTGTTTTGTGTCTGCAGTGGATAAGCACTTGCTTACATATGCAAATGCAACCTGATAGTCCTGCCTCCTTTATTTGAGTTGCTCAGAAAGCGGTTAACTGGGGGTGGGGAGGTTGTTTCACACACCTACTACACGGGCGATACAACCGTTTGTTTCCAATTATCAGTAACACATCAGGTAGCCAAATACAACGAAACCTGGTACAACCATATTTTAGTTTCGTGAACTTTGGTCTTTGACTAAATAGCCCACATCTGCTACACTTGTGTCACGCTCTTATGAATTCCACATCTTCAAATCCCTACATGAATGTTGTTTATCTCACAGTGAGTGAAGGATGATTTGAGGACCAGCAAACCTGCACAATATGTGAGAACCACAACCACACGGGACTGTCCAAGCACACACCACCACAGAAGCTGCATGCATGTTCTGTTCCGTTAAGGCTTGCATATTTTCCTTTGGTTACCGACATTCTACAAAATATCTCCTTTTGTGTTCAGCTGAAGAAAGAAATGCATACAGGTTTGGAACAACTTGAGGGTGAGTAAATGATGACAGAATTTTAATTTGTGGGTGAACTATCCCTTTAAATTATAATATACCCACCCTACTTTTTTTTCTTTTCTTTTTGCAACAGCATATTTGTTGAATACATTAATAACAAAGGCTGTTGGTTCTGCCTCTACTGTTATTTTGTATTTTTTTCTATGTTGCAAAAACAAAATAACAGAATAATGAAAAAAGAGAAGAAAAGCGGACTTGCATGACTTGATGAAACCGAAGTCATGCGATTGCAGGGAAGAGATCACAGCTGACAATGTCTAAACAGACAGGAGGTGCTTGCATTTCACAACAAAGCCTCAAATCTAAGACTTCATCTGAAATGAAAGTCCCTAATCAGCATTTTTTTTTTTCAGGCACTAAAGGGTAAAAAATATGGACACACTCTTTATTACTACTATACACATTTCATAAGTCATTACAAATTTGAAATAAAACACTAATTAAATTGTCTACAAAACTTATTTTAGGCATTGCAGCATAAGCCTTTGGATCAAAAGATTTCATAACATGCAGTCAAGCGTGTCAAAAATTTTGATTGTTGGTTTATTTATACTTCTGCAGAGACATATTCGAGTAATCAATAAGCGAACCAATACTTTTTTTGCAGTTCTATTCTTTACAAGGTGTAATCAGTTAATGCATCTTTCATTATATTATTATATTCCTATAGACTACCTGGTTATTCATAGTATGAAATGAAACAAATCCAGTTCCAATCATACACTGAATGCTTTAATTAATCTGGAAGAAAATACAAAAAAGTTGGCGATTTTAACAGACTAAAATTCTAGTTCTACTCAGCCTCTGTTCACATACCGCCTTCTTCGAGAAGGGATTTAACTTAAATGCAAGTCAGAAACACTCTCTATATTGTTTAGCAGTCTGCCATTTAGTCTGTACTTTACAAACTCAATCTTGTCAGTCCGACACTGCAGTATATAGTAGCAACATTTATTACAAGCAGAGGTAATTCTGGCCTCAGATCAGGTAACACATTCATTAACAGCATTAGAGCACAGGCCCTGTCCGTAGTGGTCTTAACTGCAATCACTGATCCCAGATCAGCAAGCTTACTCTGAAATGTCAACCATTTATTACATGTTTTTTTACGCAAACCAATCAGATACATGAAAAGCATCATCTCCTAAAAAACGGTGCCTCCTTAGCGGTGGCAATCACTGCTTTCAGTCAAATTAATAGATTCAGTCTCATAACTGGTGAAAATAAAAATACGTCAACTCACTATTCCTCCAACCAGGTAAAAACGAATCCTGGTACATCCATATTTTAGTTTCATGAACTTTGGTCTTTGAACGAAATTATAAACCACATCTGCTACACTTGTGTCACGCAGATCTTATGAATTCCACATCTTCAGATCCCTACATGAATGTTGTGTATCTCACAGTGAGTGAAGGATGATTTGAGGACCAGCAAACCTGCACAATATGTGAGAATCACAACCACACGGGACTGTCCAAGCACACACCACAGAAGCTGCACTGTTCTGTTCCGTTAAGGCTTGCATGGGTCGTTTCCTGTTTCGCCATGAAATTTGGGGAGGGGGTTACAAAACCATTAGTGTCATTAGATCACACTAAACAGGTTTCACAATCTTTGTTTATTGACAGAACTGATCGTTTTCTTCTTGGTCATTCAGCTCCTCTCAGTATCTCACTCTTTAACCCCTATATTTCATTAGTTACACATGACTAGAGATGGTGGGCAAATTAATCTCAGTCCACGGGCCTTTAATTATTTGGACAAAATTGACTAAAGAGGTGCCATAGGTCAGGGCTGTACAACCCTGCTCCTGGAGGGCCACTGTCCTGCAGGGTTCAGCTAGTTGGAGCTTAAGTCTGCAGGACAGCAGCCCTCCTGGACGGAGTCTGGACACCCCTGCTCTAGGTATATAGGAGTACATTGGTAGAAAACATGTATTGCTTATTCAGTATACCCAGTAATGCAATGGTGATGGAGTGGGATAAGACACCATTGTGAAAAGGTAAAGTTACAGAAGACATACTTTTCCTTAGAAACCCTGCTCAATCCATTTCTATTAACGTCAAGTTGGTCATATAACAGTGTCCATCAATGTCACTCCAGCTGCAATAGACCCCCGACAAAGATCTACAGCAGTTCATTTGTTAGTTAGGGACTGTGACATGACCATCTCATCTCTGATTGGCTGGGCTGTCTGTCTTCTTCAACTGCAGCATGCTCTGCCGGCCCGTAACGTGAAATTCTGAGCATAGAAAATCAGTTCGAGTGACTCGAGTGATCCAAAGAGAAACGCTGTGAAGAAACGGCTACTGATATGGAGGTGCTGATAGTGTAGATGCAGAGAAGGAAGTGTTACAAAGCACTTCCGGAGATGATAAATATTAATAGAGAACTAGGTCAGCAAGTGAGCTTGTTAGGGAAAATGGGCGGGGCTAAACAGGAGGGAAAAGTCACTGATAGGGTGACTAGAATCAGCGGTTGGTCTCTCTAGGTCATCTCATCTTTCTCCGCCAGAGGAGACAAGCATATCGGCATCGATCCGCAGCTGTTGAGCGCTTCTTCTCTTCTATTTCCCATTTAGTTGGTTCATAAAAATTATCATAATGTTTTTAGACTAGTGTGTTTAAGTTATATCTATAGTTATATCCCTATATACCTCCCAATGCTGCATTGAAGAGATTTTTAATATTTCATTCATTTTTATTTGATTTTTTATTAGATTTTTTTTTTGTAAAAAGAAGGATAACTGCACACAGGGCAGCTCTGTGCCTGAGGCTGGACCGTAGGGTGAGCGTTACAGTGGCCACATGGTGTTGACACGATGAAAATGTTTAGTTCTCCTTCTTGGCCTCTACGTTGCCATAGCTGGATCCGGTCTTGTTCACTTCGGTTACTCCAATGAGCCGGCGAACTGCTACAGAAGCTGCGAAGAGAGAAACAGTGACAGGGATAAAGAATTAACTAGTGCACTCAACTCTATCCCTCATCCAAAACTCATTAACTGATGCCATACCGCTGTGGATCTCAACTGGTTTGGCCATGGGACCCACATTTTCCCATGGTCATTAATCCGCAACCCAAATTTTTAGGAATTTGAACTAAGCTAATACATTTCTCAAAAATGTTTAAATTAACACGCACACAAGTACCATCCCACTTTGCTTAACATTCATACCTGCATGCCAAATCCTTCCCAGCTAACACACGATGTACCAGTTACGTAATTTATTGGTACTTTTTGGTAATTTCATGACTTACAACGTAACTACAACATTGTAGCTTCGTAATTTCATTACCATCATATTACCACAACGTCTTCGGTACGATCTCCTAAGGTTATAAGAAGAAAGTTTACACACTACATTTCTATTTCTTTTCACCAAGTAAAAAGATGTGAAAAAAAATAGTTGGTCACACTTTAGATTAGGGTTCAATTCTCAATATTAACTAACTATTAACTACGACTTTTGCCTCAATAAACTCATAATTGCTGCTTATTAATAGTTAGTAAGGTAGTTATTAAGTTTAGGAATTGGGTAGGATTAAGGGATGTAGAATATCATCATGAAGAATAAGGCATTGATATGTGCTTTATAAGTACTAATAAACAGCCAATATCCTAGTAATATGCATGCTAATAAGCAACTAGTTAATATTGAGAATTGGTCCCCAAACTAAAGCGTTACCAAATAGGCAATAGCTTTTAGTTCCCGCCATTCTCAAACATGGCAAAACCACCCAATCAATAAATGTGTTGGAGAGGTAATAAAGTAAATATTTTAAAAATCATTTTAATAATCATAATAACTGAGGAAAAATAGATGAATCTTGATTATTGCTAGGTAAAGGCATATTTATGTTTTAGAGAAAAGGGACATTATCATTCCATATAACATTTTATTGGAAAAAATAGTGATGCACCGTAATTACGGCAAATGACAATGTTTGGCTGAAACAGGATTTTCTTTTTTAAATAAATAAAAAAGTACAACAGGTAATCAGCATATTAGACTGATATCATATCATGTGACACTGAAGACTGGAGTAATGAAGCTGAAAATTCAGCTTTGACATCACAGGAATAAATTACATTTCATAATATATATTAAAATAGAAAACAGTTATTTTTAATTGTAATAATATTTCACAATATTAAGGTTTTTGCTGTATTTTTCATCAAATAAATGCAGCCTTGATTAACATAAAAGACTTAAAAACTCAAGAACATTAAAAAACCGCCAGTGTATCGTAGTATATACACTAGGACTGATTTAAATGTATCAACTGAGAACACTACAACCCAAACAGCATAATTAACCCAATAATAATCAAATTATAATTACCCAAACTTTATTTTCGGTATTAATGTTCAGCGAAATGAATAATTTCACTGTTTTGGTAAAAAAAATATTTAGGTGCATCACTACTTTAAACAAAATCAGCAGATAGTTTAGGTTAAATATGAATTTGCACTGGAAGCTAATTTTGTCATCTAAGTGTACACCGAAGCTATCAGATATGGATTAAGAGCCCATGTAAACTATCATTTTAATTCATGGGGATTTTATAAATAAGCTACAATAATAATAATAGCTTTGTTTTAAATAATGCCTATAAAAGTAGCTTTACAACAAAGACAAGTGGGAAAATTTAAATTAAACAACAGAATTAAACCAGTAATCAAGTAAAAGCTATCCTGTAATAAAATGTTTTAAAACAACTCCGATATCACATTAAGAAAACAACAACTGACCGACAATGAGGAAGATCATGAAGCCAATGATGAGGAGGGGAGAGCCGCTGACAAAGACATCCCAGGCAAAGTTAATAAGCGGAGAAAGCAGGAGAGTAGCCCAGAACAGGAAGTTCAGCAGAGTCCAAATCCGACGTTTGGGTATGATGGTGGGGCCGGGGTAACTGCCCTCCTTCTCATAGTGCTCTTGTAACGCATCCTTGAAGGAGAGGGTTATGTTTCAAACATGTTCATATAAAACTATATATTTGAACTAGGTTTTTAAAGATTTAGCTTCATACCTTCTCTTGATAGAGCTTGTGTAACCAATTAGCACACTCCTTTTCATCATCAGGAATCTCCTCCACAGGGAAGCGCCTGCGGATAGAACAGTGAGGGGTCAGAGCAGCACATAAAACACACCAATAGAGGGCGCTGTACATGCAGAACAACTTGGTTAAAGGAATAGTTCACATAAAAATGAAAATTCTGTCATCAAGTTGTTTCAAACCTGTATGAATTCCTTTCTCCTGCTGAACACAAAAGAAGATATTTTGAAGAATGTCGATAACCAGACAGTTGATGGACCCCATTGACTTCCATTGTAAAAACAACACTATGGAAGTCAATGGGGTCCATCAACTGTTTGGTTACCGACATTCTTCAAAATATCTTCTTTTGTGTTCAGAAGAAGAAAGAAATTCATACAGGTTTGAAACAACTTGAGGGTGAGTAAATGATGACAGAATTTTCATTTTGAAGTGAACTATTCCTTTTAATAACAAGGCGCAGATCCTCTTGGTTACAACCTTTATCCAAATATTTAAGGAGATCTCAGGCCAGCAGTAAGATAAAAAAAAAAAACATTCCAAACTTTGTGAATGAAAATCTTGGACTCACAGACATTTATCTTGATTTATCCACCGTCAGTTAAAATCTCAGATTATGCAAGTTAAGAAGCTAATCTATTATACCCAATTAAAATGAACTCACCTGACGCTCAGGTCTGCTTTGTATTTCTTCCCGCTAACAATTCCCAGCAGGGTTGGGTTCTGCTTGTCTTTGAAGTTCAGCGTGACATCGTACACAGCTTTTACTGTTGAAACAGGAAAAATACATTTCGATGTGATGTAATGGAATTTTCGCTCAATATTCACTCATTCTCACGTGTTTTTATTCATACAATGGAAGTCAATGGTCACCAAAACTGTTCGGTTACCAGCATTGTTCAAAAATATAATCTTCTGTGTTCCACAGAGGAAAACAGTTATAGGTTTGGAAATGAAAATTTGGCAAAATGGCAATTTTTTGCAACTCCTTTAAAGTAAATAACGTTTCTAATGTAATTAAAGATTGAGAGCACTGCATAGTATTCATGGCAGGATAAGAGGGGAAGGAGCTCAAGAGAGTATAAATTGAGTATAATTGGTACGAAAACCAGTGTAGCGTGGCTGCACATATTCATGACGCCCCATCTGCATTCAAAACAAGTTCACAAATACATTTCAGTCAACTCATTACAGGAAGAACAATATTGAAACAAGCAATTTGCAAGTGACGTCAAATAATAATTACTGAAGAATTAGAATGCATCATGGAACAAAATCCCAATATCACACATAAATAATTGTAATAAGCATCATATTATGATGTGTAGTGATGACATGCCATTACTTCATACCTAAAAAGAGGAGACCTCACACTTGCGTCAAAATAATACTGGACCCCAATAATTTATGCTTCTTATTTACACAACGTTCAAAAGTTGGGGGTCAGTAAGATTATTATTATTATTATTATTTTCAAAGAAATTAAGATTTCTATTCAGCAAGGATGTATTAAATTGATCAAAAGTGTATCAAGGTTTTCATAAAAATATTAAGCAGCTGTTTTCAACATTGATAATAATAATAATAATAAATGTTTCTCAGCAGCAAATCATCATATTAGAATGATTTCTGAAGCATCATGTGACACTGAAGACTGGAGTAATGATGCAGAAAAATTATATTACATTTTCACTGAATTTTTAATGAAATAAATGCAGCCTTAGTGAGCAACCTTTGAACGGCAGTGTATAGCTAAAAATATAGTCTACACTCACCGCCTATATTTAGACCGCATGTGACAGACAGACATGAGAGTCTCTCGATCACTGAGGTGGAATTTTCTTATGGCAACGTGTCAAAGAGCTTTCTGGGAACATGTAAATTCTAGGAATAATTGATACTTGAACATTAGTATTAGACCCCAGGGCGGTGAACATCCAGAAAACACATTTGTTGAGCACATTTGTGGTTTAGAGACACTTGGATTTTCTTAACTCACGTCCTGGTGCCCATCACTCACCCAGGAAGCAATGAACTCTTTTAACAGGGTAACGCATAGCAGCTCTGTGTAAACAGTATCTATATGACAGTGATGGAGTGTGTGGAAGCGTTCGTCTGACCTGTTCCCTTCAGGCATTGCAGTGTAGTGGTGAATCCTTTGGTGCGGGGCAGCAGGTGGTACTTCAGTTTTGGAAGACCCTTACTCTCGGCCACCTGCATGCTTATCTGATGCTTCTTTTCTGTAAACCTCGTTCCTTCACAGTACAGCAGGAACTGGCAAACACACACACACACACACACACACCAGAGGATTGTTACTCTTAGGTCAGTGTTAATCAGAGTAATCCTATCACTTCGTAATCTCTGCCAACGGAAACTTCCAATCGGACCACGTCATAAGTGACCTCACCGCTGGAGATACACTGAGTAACACTGACGTATATATGCAAACATACACTGCCCAGTCATAAAAAAAAAAAGTCGCTGTTTGAATTTAAATAGGTAAATGCTTAAAGTCCCCCTGTGGTGTAAATCAAGCTTTTAATGTTGTTTATATGTCTATGTGGTGTTTTTAATCTGCTTTAAGACAAACCATGTGGAAATTCATGAGTCAACACCATTTTCACCTTAAAACGTCACTGAACAAAAAACGCGGTTTGAAATCGCTGGCGTTTCTGACGTCACAAACTACCTTGTAACCAAATCAAGCCAACGTGTGATCGCCAACGAGTGGATTTCTGAGCTGGTGTGAGTGAGTGGAGGCGGGGCTAATTTGCATATTCATAGAACTTTAAGGGTTGAAGAATGTTTTTTTCAAGGAAAAAACGTTTAAAGAGCATATTGTAGGTAAAAAAAAAAACTAAATTAATATATAACCTTGTATGAAAATACCATATGAAAAGGTAATGCAGGATTTAAAATGTTTTAAAACGACATAAGGGCACTAATTTAGTAGATAAAGTGAGCGTTTCTTGGACTGCTCGTAAAAACGGCTTTTTTTTCAACATCGCGTCATTTTACGTCACGCTAGGGAGCCTCAGCCTCGCCTCAGTGCAGAGCAGGCTGGCATTCAGTGAGAGCGGCCGTGAGTCAGTGTGTTTTCGGTAGTTTTTGTATTTCAATCTATCATTGTCATGGTAAATTATTGTGTTTGTGGAGGTTGCAAAAACTCCGGCCTGTCAGGACATCGAGTCCACAGGTTTCCATAACAAGAAAAACGGTGCTGTATATCTTTCGTGCCTGGTGCGGTTTGTGCAGGTGAAGAGACGGGATTTCTCTTCCGCATCGGCTTCGAGAAACGCGGTCGTGTGTAGCTTTCACTTCAGATCGTGTGTAGCGTTCACTTCAGATCGGAGGATTATCATCCCGGCGATATGATGGAGTTTAACATGGGATGCCGAAGCAAGAATATTGATCGTCGTATACTGTACCAATGGCATCAAATAGTGTGATATAGGTAGTCATGCCCTAAATAGAGGCAACTTGTAATTGAAAAACAAAATTACTAGGTTGATTAAATATTCAAATCTTTAATTTTCTGTTTATGTTATAACCCAGATGAAAAATATGTTTTAAAAATGTACTAGAGTGTGTTTTTAGTAACTTACAATAGAAATATACTCAAGTATAGTTTTTATACATTTAATAGTATACATCTACCCTAAACATACTAATGTCTGCTGGCCTGATATACGATGGTTATAATCTGTACAATATTGTGAGCACATGTATATCGTTAGCGAACGTGTATATCTATAAGTACGTCTCTCACCAAGACACCTGTCCTGTTCTCCACTGGTTCTCCTCACACCACAACTCAATGTGTCTCTGACCGTTCTGTCTAACATTAATCCTGGCCTGTCCCTGCTCTCTTGGCAGCATAGCAGGCTCATAATTGTATGGCTGTAGTCCGTCATACGAGTAAGTATTTCCTCAGCGTCCGAAATGTCATTGCGATCCATTGTTTTCCTGTTGTTTGAATCGACCGCTCTCCCGCCCATTACGTAATGCACACCACACCCATTTTCAGACGCGGAAGTAAAATGTTCTCACAAAAACGACTCCAGAAGCTTATGTAGCGTATTTATAAGAATATTTTAAAGAAAATCTAGTTCCTACATTATTTTTCTATACATTGACTCGTTGGGTCCTCTAACCTGCAATATGCCCTTTAAATATGTAATTTTGGTGAACTAAGATGAGTTTTAGGGATACAATTATTGATTACAGGGGGACTTTAAGAGTCTATGATTGGATCATTATTGTAGTGATTATTATGTTTCTAGCATGATATATATTTGGCAACAATTCTTGACCAAAAATTAATGCACCTCTTGATGGAAATAAATGTTGTGATGTTATTTCCATCAAGAGGTGCATACATTTTTGGTCAAGATCTTGAATTGACAATGCAAGAGTCCAGCACTCTGTGTAAAGTCTCCTCCAGCACATCCCAAAGACTTGAATGAATTTAAGGTCTGGATTCAGATGTGAAAATGATTCTTCATGCTCCATTCCCAACCATTCCTTCAATTTTTAAGTGGATGAATCTTGACATTGTCATCCTGGAATATGGATATGATATGTCTTCCTGCATGGTTGTTTAAGAAATGAAAAGATACACACTCCATCGATTAGGGTTAGAAGAAGAACTGTTGCCAAACATACAACATGCTAGAAACATAATAATCTCTGCAATAATGATCATCCAATCATAGACTCTTAAGCATGTATTGGCTATTTAAATCCAAATAGCAACTTTTTTTGTATACGTGTATATGTGCAGTGTATATAATATTTGTAAGCACAGAAAATGTTTGCCTTTTATTTTTTATTTTGAGTATGCATTTCCGGGTAATTGGTCACAGGGGAATAGGTGGGCATTTACCTGGTAGCGTTTCCTGTTTCCTGTATAATTGGTATTTAATAGAATGAATGAATAAATACATAAACCCACTAAACTACATAATTCAAACAAGAATACCAGGAATCATAAATGAAGAATTAAGACATGGCCATGTGCCTCTAATTAGGTTTTATAATTATAATAGTGTTTTTTTTATAACCTTTAAAAGAGAAAACCTTTTTCTTATGAACCGAGTAAGGGAAAAAGTTTTACTTTGCATTCACACTTCTTTGCGATTTCTGTTATTTATTTATTTATTTGCAATCTCTGAACCTTGGTTAAATGTGTCAATGCACCTTCACTGAGCAAAAGTAACACTAAGCTCCAAATGTGAATTGGGTTTGTCAAGTAATTTTATTAGAAACTGCAACATTGCATGGTTTAAAGGAAACTGTAAAAAGGATAAGCAAAAATTTAACCACCCCAAAAAACAAACAAAAACAATAAGTCTAAAGTGCCTAAATACGCCAATCAATGGTATTAAATTGTTCTGAACCATTAAAAAAAAATTGGAGTGAGTGAGATTTGGTTAGCTTCAAATGCGATAAACAAATAGTCTGAACACATCACTTTAGTGACTTGTCAAAGCTCTGCTTAATTATCAGCTCATTAGAGCATCCTGACAGGTCAGTGTACTCACCCACATGTATTCTGGGTAATCTCGGAGACGGTTCAGCCCACTGAAGACAGTTTCCCTGTCCTCCTCCCACTTCCGCTTACAGAAGACTATTTCCAGGAAGTACCACGTCCAGCCAACCAGAGGCACTTTCAGCAGTTCGTGTTTAGCCAGAACCTTAGAACTCTGGATACGAAATTTGAAAATAAAGGGCAAAAAAAAAAAAAAAAAAAAAGGATTCAGAGAGGTAGGAGGAGAGGATAGAGAAGAATACAAATCACCCACTCAATCAAAACAACTAAATCCAACAAATTAATCTCTTGGGATTTAGCCTAAGATTACTAAATATAGAACAAAGCAGTGTTAAAACTAAAACTATTTAAAAACATTTAATTAATTGAAATAAAGAAGTTATACATTTATTTATTTAATCTTTTGATGAAAAACTTAAATGAATATTAGAAAAGTTGCATGGGCAATAGTGTTCATTTTGTCAGCTCTTTTTGAATTTAGTCTTAGTCCTGTGTCAAATTTACTTTTTACTCTTAATCATATTTAGTCAACCATGTCATGTTTTTGTTTAGTCAAGTTTTAGTTTCTAAATGCCTGGGCATTTTAGTCTAGTTTCAGTCAATGAAAACGCAGTCACATTTTCATCATGCTGCATACTGGTTAAATGATTATTTCGCTTAAAATGATAAATCGCACAACAGCATAAAAGACTTTCTATTGTCAAACAGAAGTTGCTTAAAGGATTAGTTCACTTTTAAAAAAACTTTTGCTGATAATTTACTCACCCCCATGTCATCCAAGATGTCCATGTCTTTCTTTCTTCAGTCGAAAAGAAATTAAGGTTTTTGATGAAAACATTCCAGGATTTTTCTCCATATAATGCACTTTGCTGGGCACCAAACGGTTCAAGGTCCAAAAGACAGTTTCAGTGCAAACTGCAAACTGTTCAAAGGGCTTTAAACGATTCCAGACGATGAATAAGGGTCTTATCAAGCGAAACGATCGCTCAGTTAAAAAATAAATAACAAAGTTTAAGTTTTATAAGCTCAAATGCTCGCCTTGCTCTGTTCTGTGTAACTCTCCTGTTCGAACTCGTTCATCAAAATGAACGAATCTTTTTCCGAGTCAATTCGTTCATTTCGTTCGTTAAATGAACCAAATGACTCGAAAAAAGATTTGTTCATTTTGATGAACGAGTTCGAACAGGAGAGTCAAGAACGTGCATCACAGAACAGAGCAAGGCGAGCATTTGAGCTTATAAAACTTAAACTTTGTTATTTATTTTTTAACTGAGCGATCGTTTCGCTTGATAAGACCCTTATTCATCATCTGGAATCGTTTAAAGCCCTTTGAACAGTTTGCAGTTTGCACTGAAACTGTCTTTTGGACCTTGAACCGTTTGGTGCCCAGCAAAGTGCATTATATGGAGAAAAATCCTGGAATATTTTCATCAAAAACCTTAATTTCTTTTCGACTGAAGAAAGAAAGACATGGACATCTTGGATGACATGGGGGTGAGTAAATTATCAGCAAAAGTTTTTTTAAAAGTGAACTAATCCTTTAAGTGCATTTATTCAGCAACCATATTCTTATTTGGATTTAATACAGTTCATCACTGAGAAGATTTGATTGCAAATTTCGACACACTTTCATTTAAGCAGAATATCTCAATGGAGATCGCTAAACTCCAGCTTTTATTTTTGGATCATCAGACAGCGGCACTTGAGCAGTGTAGAGAGAGCGCGTGCGCATGGTTGAAAATGTATCCTTTTAAAGGAAAAGTTTGGATTGGGAGATTTAATCTTGTGAAATTTGGCAACCACAAGCAAGAAAGCTCATAGTAGAGGTCTGTAATATTTTGTCTCCTCTTTTTTTTTTCTTTACAAAAATAAAGTTTTTATTTTTTAGTAAAGTCTTTTTCATCCATGATATTGCATGTTAATATAGTCACAGTTACGGTTTAATGGCCATCACAGGCCAAACCCTTACATAAGAGATGTCTTATACTGTATTTAGCATAATTATGCTCTTTCATGAATACATTTTCAGCCAAAATTTCATTACGATGCATTGTGAAACCCAATACTATTTTTTTATTTAAACCTTTATTTACTAATTGGAGTATCTCAGCCACATTATAACATCCAAATTAAAGTGTCGTGTGTGGAAAACTTTGCGCATCATGAGCACAATCTTCTCACACATTGTGAGGTTGCATTTCAGTTGGGATGCATTTGAAGTCGACAGGTCTTCTACACGACTATTACACCTCAAAGCTAACGCCGCCCTTCACAACCTCGTCGGGACTCACCCCCAGCACGCCGTATCTCTCACAAATGGTCCAGCCACACAAGAAATCAATCTCATAGTTGTGGTTTAGGATGATGATGACGTGCTCTTTCCCGAACTTATCCACTGTGGCCTGATCGGTGTACAGAGTGCAATCTGTGCCAGACCACCACTCCAACAACATCACCAACTCTGTTAGGAAAGTAGAGTAAAGTCACGTCACCTTTGTACAATACAGATTGTTTCAAAATAGCTTTACAGAGATAAACAGGAAAATAACAGAATAAATGATGCAAGCTTCATCAAACAAGTTCTTCAGTTCAATTCAGCAATAAAGCAGCTCTACAGAAGGCAAAAGTGTCATTATTCGACACACGTAATAGGTGTTATGATGCTAGATGAATTAGAATGATCTATATCGTGACAAGCAGAATGCAAATTGCTGCCTGCTCTGGATCAATTGCTTCGGGTTATATAATTCTCATTTGTAAGCTGCTCCGGATAAAAGCGTCTGCTAAATGAATAAACGTAAATGTAAATGCAAATACATTTGAATTGAGTGCTGGCAAACTTTGGACCTCTGAACGTTTAAAATGCTGATCGGTGTGGTTTTATTTTCGAGCAATAAACGTTAAAACTTTTACCTATTAAACAAAAATAAATGGACAGGAATTTAAATCAGCAATTAGAAAAAAGTAATTTTAAAAAGACCTACTTTTCATCCTAGGTACTAGATATAGTAGGTAGATATTAGTTACTATGTTAGATATTGTTCTGACACCAAAAAGCATGGGATTTGTGTCTTTTAAATTAAATGATACTAATTATATTTTAAATTTAAAACAAAGTATCGTCTCTTAATGGAAAGTGTGCTTAATGTATTACCGAAACACTGATCATACATGTAACATGCAAAACCAGTCCTGCTAAATGTACAAAAGTCTGTGCGTTTGAAGTGTAGTACAAACACCATAATGCCGCATAAATTTACATAAAATTTCTTAGCATAACGCTAAAGTGATCTGACAAATGTTAAAAAAAAAAGAAAGAAAACACATACTATCCAAGTGCTATCCATCTGCAAATTCTTTATATACTACAGTAACAGGTACATAAGATTTGGAATAAATGCCCTTAAAAGCAACTATAACTTCTCATTACCACATGTCTGTAAAAACGCATGCAAAATGTGTGCAGCGACAAAACCAACTCACGGCTCCATAGCGAGTAGGAGAGTCTGGTGTTGATCTTGCGGTACAGCTGTTTGTCGAAGGGCCACAGCACACAGGTGCAGAGCTGCGTGAAGTTGATAATGAGGCCGCTCACAACGAACACGAAGCCAATCAAGAGCTGCAGTACGAACAGGCTCTTCAGCCACGCCACCACACCCATGACTGAGAGCCCCTTCCACACACACACACACACACACACTGCTGAAAGAGAACAAATCAAACTTACTCAGATCATTAAGCAGCAGACACAATAATGCACAAAATATTAACATAATATCAAAATCACACTCATGCTGTCATGAACAACTGCATGCATATTAGTACTGATCAATATTATTAATAGCATGCATTAAAGGGGTCATATAATGGTACATGCACTTTTACAAGTTGATTGTACTGAAATGTGTGTTGGCAGTGCCTGTACACAACCATCATAAAATGATAAAAATCCATCCAGTGTTTTTGTTTTAATCTCCTTATATGTTTTCCCCTGCCTCAAATTGAGCCGTTCGATTTTGTGACGTCACACGCTCGGATGCCCCTCCCACGATTGTTGATTGACAGCAGCGTTTCAACACAGACCCGCCCTCGCTCGTGAGGAAGCTGTCAATCATAGTCTGCGCGGACCGGCGCGGTCATTGTTGATATGCTGGAGCACTGTCTATGAGCAGAATGGCGTCTAAGCGATTGTGGTGTTCTGTTCTTGGGTGTAATAACGAACACAGTCATTTTAACGTTCCTAAATCCGAACCTCTGAAGACGCAGTGGCTGAGTTTGTTTTCGAAGGGAATATTCCCCACGAGCAACGTCAATGCTTTCATGTTTGCGCGAATCATTTCTCACCAGACTGCTTTATAAGGAGGGTCAGTATAAAGCTGGATTTGCTAAGAAGCTGCTCATGAAAAAAGGATCGGTACCAACTATTCGTGTTCCTGCTGAACCTCTAGAACAACTGAAGTGAGTGTAACGTTTTATTAAACTTTATATTAATATTTATATTAATCTTTGCAAATCGCTAGCTGCACGCTTCACAATGAATGCGTCTAAGGTTTACACTTAGGGTACATTACGGCATGTTTTCTATGTATGACGTTCTCAATATAATTCATAATCCCACGTTTATACTGAACAACGCGTTATGGTTATTGTGTTACAAACGGTGTACACACAGAACAGAGAGGCGGGGTGAGCAAAGCTCATTATCATTTAAAGGCATATGCACTGAAACGGCGTGCTGAAAACAGAGCTGTTTTTGACCAAGTAAAATAAGTGTTTTCTTACAATACTAATGAGAATTTTTAATTAAAGTATATTACAAACTTTTAATTTAGACCCTAAAGAATCATACTAGCTTGTACAAAAATGGCATTATATGACCCCTTTAAAAATAAAATCATGTACCAGTCAATCCAGGTACTCTCTCATGTTCATGTTTAATAATACATTTAATCATTTCAGTTATCCAAGTCAATATAGTGAACGGATGTTTAACTCACCACAGTGGGTTCTTCTCTACAACCCTCTTTTACACGGCCCTTCACTTAGTACCACCGACCTGAGAGAGAAGGAGACAGAGCGCATTTAGAGATTTCATGACAGCCCCAGTCGTGAATACAACCGTCACCAATATCACATTTAGTCCTGTTTATTTTTACTTCCACATCCTGTCCCGATACACGAAGATACAGCTTAAAGTAGGCGAGAGTTCATGACCACAGACCCTTAGGCATAGGCACCAAAAATTCCACATGCAGCAGCACAGTGCGCACACACAACTTCACTACACATGCCCCACGCAAACACACACCCTCTCACCCAATTGGAGGAGCTCCAGTCACCTCCTCCAATTTCTCTCTCTCGCATTGACACCGCCTGGTTTTTGCAGCTCCTCCCCCCCCCAACTTTAGCTCTCCCTCTTTCATAACACGACAGCATCTCAACATGATTTGTCACGTACAAAAATCTCACTCTCACAAACACCAGAACTGGATCTAAAGGTCTCCACTTTCAAATTGATTTTGAAAGCTTATCAAGCTTTATATTCCAGCACGGCTTAATCCGATAACAAGACAACAACTGCAAGAGAAAGCACTGGATTAATATCAAATACTCCAACAAAATAAGCGTTTCAGCAAATGTATTTTCCAAATAATCTTTTAAAGCACTGCTTAACCAAATGAAAAGAGAGGATTGCAGCTTAATGCAGAAAACCAGTGACTCTGCACGTTCCCAAACTACTTTAACTGGCCGTCTCGTAACCTGCAGGTGGCCCGTCTGACCCCATTAATACTATCCTTTTCTCTGTTAGTAGGCCTATGTGTCTCGGTTACACTTTATTTTAAGGTGTCTGTGTTACAACGTAGTTATACAAACAAGTACGGAGTAATGATAATTAACTACATCTACATCTTACTATAGGGTCAGGGTTAGGTTTATGTAGTTAGTTGCATCTAATTATGCATAATTTATAGTGTAACAAGGACACTAAAATAAAGTGTTATCTGTGTCTGCTCTGATAACAAAGTTCAGTTCAGTCAACCATCCTACTACAATAACTAATATCATTACAAAGTGCAATACTGTTGTGATGAAATTACATTCGTTTTGCCCGATGGCCCATACTTTCAGTCCGACATTATCTGACAAGCACAGTCTGTTTGATGGTGTTTTTGTGTGTGTAAAATAAAATCCCTGTTGTGAGCGAGCAGCAAGTGAAAAAATTATGGTGGATTTGGAGAGTCATAAGATCTAGTTTGAAAGATGCCTTACACTGATAAAAATTATCTCCATGTGAAGCATTTTGTGGCCAGTAGGTACTTTTCCCTTAGAGATTTTTGCACATTTCTGCCTGACCCAAACAACAATGCAATAAATGGTATCTATGTGCAAATATTAATAAAACAAGCATCATATGATAGCAGCAAAAACATCTGATACATTAGCAAGTAAAACATGGGGGAAGTGGTTGTGTGTTATTTATAATCTACCTCCATTCTGTACCTTTATGCACATATACACTCACCTAAAGGATTATTAGGAACACCATACTAATACTGTGTTTGACCCCCTTTCGCCTTCAGAACTGCCTTAATTCTACGTGGCATTGATTCAACAAGGTGCTGAAAGCATTCTTTAGAAATGTTGGCCCATATTGATAGGATAGCATCTTGCAGTTGATGGAGATTTGTGGGATGCACATCCAGGGCACGAAGCTCCCGTTCCACCACATCCCAAAGATGCTCTATTGGGTTGAGATCTGGTGACTGTGGGGGCCATTTTAGTACAGTGAACTCATTGTTTATGTTCAAGAAACCAATTTGAAATGATTCGAGCTTTGTGACATGGTGCATTATCCTGCTGGAAGTAGCCATCAGAGGATGGGTACATTGTGGCCATAAAGGGATGGACACGGTCAGAAACAATGCTCAGGTAGGCCGTGGCATTTAAACGATGCCCAATTGGCACTAAGGGGCCTAAAGTGTGCCAAGAAAACATCCCCCACACCATTACACCACCACCACCACCAGCCTGCACAGTGGTAACAAGGCATGATGGATCCATGTTCTCATTTTGTTTACGCCAAATTCTGACTCTACCATCTGAATGTCTCAACAGAAATCGAGACTCATCAGACCAGGCAACATTTTTCCAGTCTTCAACTGTTCAATTTTGGTGAGCTCTTGCAAATTGTAGCCTCTTTTTCCTATTTGTAGTGGAGATAAGTGGTACCCGGTGGGGTCTTCTGCTGTTGTAGCCCATCCGCCTCAAGGTTGTGCGTTTTGTGGCTTCACAAATGCTTTGCTGCATACCTCGGTTGTGACGAGTGGTTGTTTCAGTCAAAGTTGCTCTTCTATCAGCTTGAATCAGTCGGCCCATTCTCCTCTGACCTCTAGCATCAACAGGGCATTTTCGCCCACAGGACTGCCGCATACTGGATGTTTTTGCCTTTTCACACCATTCTTTGTAAACCCTAGAAATGGTTGTGCGTGAAAATCCCAGTAACTGAGCAGATAAAAATCCCAGTAACTGAAATACTCAGACCGGCCCGCCTGGCACCAACAACCATGCCACGCTCAAAATTGCTTAAATCACCTTTCTTTCCCATTCTGACATTCAGTTTGGAGTTCAGGAGATTGTCTTGACCAGGACCACACCCCTAAATGCATTGAAGCAACTGCCATGTGATTGGTTGATTAGATAATTGCATTAATGAGAAATTGAACAGGTGTTTTAGGTGAGTGTATTCCACAATGAATTTCTACCAAATGAATTGCAAATGCTTTGAAGAAACTCGCTGAATGCGTTAACTACAAAAAAAAGAATAAGAATGATGGCAAACTACATTGACACTGACATTGAATTATTAAATCTATGGACAGCAATTGTTTCATGTAATCAGCCAGGGCACTTGTTTATTACTTACGGTATTGATTTAGTATTGACACTAAATACCAGAGACCATTCTATTGAAGAAAAAATTAAGACAAGATTTGGGTGTCATGGACCACCTATAGCAACCATATAGCAATGCCCCAGGCAACCACCCAAAATACCTTAGTATTGTGTCAAGTTTGCACAGGCATGTAGCTCACAATTTCTTCAGAAAATTTTATAAATCCAGCTAATATCTCTAAGCGGTCATCTCAAATGTGAATTAGCATTTAGCATAATAGTAAATCTGCCAAATCTATGTGCTGCAATTTCAAACACAAAACAATCGTGTTACAACATGAGGGCAGAAATAGACCAGCGAGTTAAAGTTTAAACCGACAAAAATGCTTTGGTTCCTCTACCAGCATATCAGCCAAGACGAACAGAACACAAACAGCACTAACCTTAGATGACGATCCACTGGCAGTGTGCTAAGTTAACTGTGACTTTAGTATGGACAGAGAGACTGACTGAAAGACGGGAAAAGAGAGAGGGTGGGAAAGGAAAGAGTTGAACTCTGTCCTCCTGGCCAGCACTGCACGAACTGGAAGCAAACTTTGGAATCTCACCAAAGTGCGTGTGTGTGTGTGTGTTTGAGAACAAGAGAATGGCAGAGTGCTCTGAATGTCAAAACCCCTCGTGCCAGTTAATGAGTTGCACTAGGTGTGTGAGGGGGAGTGTGTCCACGCTATCTGAGCGATCACCTGATCAACTTGTCGGAGCAGAGCCCTGGCTCAGCCAACAAGAAACCCCGCATTCTCCAC